ATTTCTCAATTCGATCCAGTAGTTCCTGAGATTAGCACGTTCAAACAAATAAACAAATCTTCAGCTTTATATATTAGGTTAATTATGAAATATTAATAATATTATGAATAAATTAGCGAAAAGGGAAGCGTTACTAGTGATTATTTTGTGTTCGTATTGCACGAGAACGCCACTGATATCTGTGCTCAAATTGCTGAATATCAGCCATTCCAATCAATTACATTCGATACGGGGCATATTGTATGGGACGTTGCGAAGTTAATTAGCGACCTATTAATTACAGGCATGTGAATATTGAGTCGTGACTGATGATATGACAAACACAAGAATAGGGTGACAATGATTTTTGATAAATTACTCAGGCGCGGTAGTTCGTTCAATAAGAATAAGTATCCAGTATTTTTTTTTTTGGATTCAAGAAACAAACAGAAATATCATAGTAAAATACCACAAGGAATAAAAAGTAAAAAATACAGTACATGTTTCAATAAATAGTTTAAAAAAACTGCTTTTTAAGTTTATTTATGCAGACAAGTCAATGTCTAGTGTGTGCAATTTTACATGCAAATTTTTTTAGATTTTTTATTTGTATTATGATATTTAAACCATGTGTGTAATAATTTAACCTTAGTTCTGTAGACCCGTTGAATAAAAAAAATATATATATATAGCGTAAACCCGTTTGCGTAGGGCATCAAATTATTTAAGTCAAATTCTATTATTGTGGGAGTATATAATAATTGAATGAACCCTTACTTGTGATTTAAAATTAATACTAAAAAAGATTATAAAATCGTCCTGTAAACGAACTTCACAGCTATCAAAACGAAAGTTAATGTTAATTTCTTAACACCCCTTACAATTATATGTATTACATTATCAAATCATTTAGACCAATTAGGACCAATTAACGCCATTCATCTTCAACCTCGATCTAGACACAACTAATCCATAACCATTATCCAAAAGATAATGTCGACAGCCTTACATAAACACCTTTACTCACAGCGGAATAACTTAATGTATACGCTTTACATTGCGTGCTTTCTTCCACTCACTTTTCGTAGCCCGTAACTAACGTGGAAAGGAAGAGAAAATAAAAGCAAAGTTACATTATCTGTATTTTATTCAAATGCCGTAGTACCGCATATCTAGGGCAGTCACGCAAACTTGTAGTGAACACAAAAGAGAATTTAGACTCTATTGTTGATATGTAAGATGTATATTGGCTTATTGTACGTCTGTGGTAAATCGGTGGATATCGCTGTAGCGACATCTAGTGGTTTTAATGACAAATGATTGCGTCGCATTTGTAAGGAGGCGCGAAACGAGCGATTTTATTCGGAAAAACAGTCGTTCGTTTATTTTATCGTCCCTTTTTCGTATAATGATTTGCTGTGGTAAGACGTTTAGAGAGGCAGTTATAGGATTTAATTTTTTAATGTCTTTATTCCTTGTCTGTTTGCGTTTATGTTAAAACCAAATGTTTTACATTATCTGTAACAAAAATAGGACAAAAATATATTTAATATTTTCTAATAAGAAAAACAATTATTTTTGTTTCAATTAAACACTGTTAACGATTTAAACGCGAAATATATTAACTACTCATTTTGAATACTGTCTGTAGATTACGCGAGTAGTACATATTAAATAAAACACTTTAACTTTTGTTTGAAAATTATTTTTTACTACGGCCCGTAGTTTTGGATGCTTTGCAGCAGCCGTGGTCACGGGGAGGCTTAGGGGGCTTAGGGGAGAAGGAGGACTGTTTTATTTAAATACATATTTTGAATTTATTTTAATAACGAATAATGATTCTTTTAAATTATAAAAAAAAACACTTGTTTCAGATTGTTTAAACATCCGAAATGCCAGATCGTTGTTGGTTATTAAGTATAATACACTTTTAAACCTGTTAAAATTGTTTTATTTGATCGTGTAATATTAAGAAATAACTTGTACTTGTAACTCTTCAACATGACAATGATATTGTGTGGAATTACTTAATTTTTTTTATAGAAGAGTAGAGTTGTGCATGGGTTATGATGAGTTATGATGGAAGGTGTAATATTCCTTGCATTAACATCTAAACTATATACGCTACCGACCTATTATTCACCTTAGACATTGGGAAATTCAAAGTCTGAAACTGGACGGAATTATTAAATTTCCACCCCCGTTTCAGTATCCAAATTTCCAGACGAAGAAGTATGTTGGACCTGGTGTTAATCGAACCCAGATCTCGTTGATTGGTAGCCATACATTGCTACCATATCACCAAGAATAAACAGTATTACCTAGTATTCTTAAATAGAATAGCAATAATCTTTCATTAAGAATGATTTGGGCCTCCTTTGAAACATCGACACCGGAATTTAAACACATTTACAAATTAATATATTACCTGGAACACCAGGCTTTCATGTAATTAACTCTCGCATTTCGCGTTTTAGTTTGCCCTATTCTTGCCTGTTTTAATATGCAAATGGTTCAGCCTTTGACAATTGTACTTACATTGTACGAGGTTCCGAATGATTAAGAGCTTGTACTTTCGTCTGCTTTGAAATTACATTCGTTTTTATAACGTTGACGCTAAAGGAAGTTTATGTATTCTATTTTGCTTTATAAATGAGACAATTTATTCAAATTCAATTAACGTAATAAATTCATATGTTGAGTTACATAAGTTTGAAATTGTAAACAAACTAAAATTGAGATTGAAATAATGTAAATTACGTAATATAGTTTACGCGAGTAGAAGTACACATTAAAATAAATAACAAATACATCGCTTTTTAAACCGTTAAAGTGTTTTATTTAAATGTGTTAACTAATATATCGCGTTTTAAACCGTTATAGTGTTTTATTGAAATAATGTATTTCACACAATGTACACATACAAGGCAATATTTTTTAAAATTGGATGTAAAATCATAAGAATTGAAACAAGAAACTGTATAAAAAAAAACAGTAAAAAATTGAATTAGGTAATTTTTCCAATGTGTGTTTTTAAAATTTGAACTTGCATATATAAAATCCTAAGGGAAAGCATTGATATACCTTTTAATAAAACTATATTCTTTTATAATTTCTACGTATAATTCTAATAAGTGTTATAGTGTGCAAGTTTAATATTAAAATGTCAAACCAAAAAACGGTACAAAACGGTTGTTCCAATCGTGGCATCTGAACCGTCGGGCCGTAGTTAAAATAATTTTTGAATATGTATAACTAATATATGTTGAGTTTTAAATCGTCAACGTGTCTTCTTTAAGTGCTGGCGTAAACTACAGACAATTCTTTTTCTAAAAATCACGCTTAATCCTTAGATGAAGTTAAGATAGATACGATTATTATATAAAATACGGTTGGAAACGCAATAAATAATAGGAAATTATTTAACTACGACCCGACTTCTTTCGTTTCTCGTCCATGAGTATAATGTGGTTAGAATAATCTAAAAATGATATACATGTTCTACACGATGGATATAAAATCCTTATAATCTGCAAACATTGCGTATCTTACCCCAAAATAAGCGATAGCGTTTAAACTTCCCCATTCGGAAGTTTCGTATACATTCCGATCCACTGATTTGAATCACAGCGGCCGCTCTTAAACAGAACATAAATAATTTTAAAAGGCAAATTAGACAAATAACGAGAAGGAAACACAGGGGCCGGCAGGAATAAATTAGAAAAGTTGGCAAAACGCGTAAACATCAAAAAGTTCCACTTCTTAATTTACAAGAGCCTTACGATTTTACTTCAACTTGTAATCTTAGATTCTGTTTTGCGTAATAGCGTGTAGACTGTCGAATTTTGACGTAAATTTTTAATAGAATCCCTAAAGTTTTAAATCTTATAATAGATCCTTATTGTTATTTTCTATTGGAGGGACCGATAGAAGACTGGGTGATAAGTCCACAATTTCTGCTGACTATTTCCCCTATTTCCCCATTTTTTCCCTACAGATCCTTATTATCTATATTTTAAGCTAAAGAACTTGTTTGAATGTTATCATGTTGGAATTGAAGAATTCTGGCATTGAATAGAGCATAGAATTGAAAATGTTGATAAGAAAAAAAAATGTATAAAAGAAATGGTTTTTCAAGAAATGGACAAAAAAAACATGACAGTGTGTCTATTTTTAAAATTTACGATGGTAATAAAATTAGGTCGATCTTATTGCATTATAACCAATTATTTATTAGAGTTATATCAACATAATATAATTCTTGCAAACAACAAAACAACGTTTGCCGGATCAGCTAGTTTTATAATAATGGCTTAGGGCGATACAACACTGCTATCTCTAGATAATATAAAATAATCTCGTATACAATAAGATACAATACAAAACTAACAAAATCATCCATCATCCTTTTATATCTGCCCTTAAAGCGCTGAAACAAAACATTCCATTAACCTTTGTTCCATCAATAGACACGTAATACAAAAATTAAAGCGCGGCTTTAGCTGATTTCAAAATAAACTGAGCGATAATTTTTCAACCCTTATTGGGTTACTTTGGCGAGCCGTTGAGAATGTTAGCGGGTTGAATTGGTTATTTGGCCTTAAGTAGATGGTTATTACTTTGTTGAACAGGGTTTTTGGTTGAGCTCTTAAGCTATGTAATCTTTGAATGTACGGAAATCTTGAACTGCAGAAGAATTCTTGAATTGCATATCCGAATCTATCGACCACTGGCTACTGAAGCAGTTAGGTAAGTAGGTACGTAGCTGCTTTAGCATCTACGTATACCTACATACTGTTAGGTCGGAAAAACAATGTTAAACTCTTAAATATTAATTTATTATCCAAAATTAGGCTTAACCGACAGAATGCGCGCCAACGTTCGTATTTGACAGTTCCTGAGCTAGTGTCGGGACGCGCGCGGTAATCGCGTCGCACTAGTGTTGTGTCGTCCCCGCTAAATCGGAGGATTATTCATATCAGTTCGGCCATCCTGTGTAGTCCTTAGCTCAGCTCAGCCACCTAGAGGAAATAGCCTCGTAGGCAGTAAATAGCCTCGTAGGCAGTAAATAGCCCCGTAGGCAGATAATAGCCCCCGTAGGCAGTAAATAGCCCCGTAGGCAGTAAATAGCCCCGTAGGCAGTAATAGCCCCGTAGGCAGTAAATAGCCCCGTAGGCAGATAATAGCCCCGTAGGCAGATAATAGCCCCGTAGGCAGATAATAGCCCCGTAGGCAGATAATAGCCCCGTAGGCAGATAATAGCCCCGTAGGCAGATAATAGCCCCGTAGGCAGTAGTAGCCCCGTAGGCAGTAATAGCCCCGTAGGCAGTAATAGCCCCGTAGGCAGATAATAGCCCCGTAGGCAGTAATAGCCCCGTAGGCAGTAATAGCCCCGTAGGCAGTAAATAGCCCCGAAGGCACAACATAGCCCCGTAGGCACAATATAGGCCAGTAGGCACTATGCCAGAGGGGTGACAGCATCTTGCTTTAATTCGTCCTCTGATGAACAACTGTCTTGCGTAGCTTTCAAAACCTTCATTTAGTCACCTTATGACCAACCTTGTCACAATTGTTACACTTGACCACCTTGTTTAAGTTATTATTTTAAGCATTAAATGAACCCCAGGATTTCACTTCAACGCAGTCCGATGATGTTTTCATACAGGCCAGGTAAATTGCTTGAGCTATCCCATCATCACTCATATTACATGACATGCCAATACCCAGCTTATCATAGTAAAATTTTATTGGGTCTTCATCTTTTGTCTTGATACGGTTAACAAGTTCCCTAATCTGTGACAACTTATTCTTAGTGAATGGAAATGCTGTAATTAATTTTATTTTCCACTCATCCCAGCTAATGTCATAGCAAGTTTGGCGTTCATACCAGCTTTTAGCATAGCCACCCAACTTAGAAGTGCAGTTGCAAATCAAAGTGCGTTCATCCCAGCCATGCATATTAGCAACACCTTCTAAGTTACGGAGCCAATGTTCTACTGAGACAGATGATTTTTGAGGATTAAACTCAGGTATAAAATCATTCCGCCCCACATAACGAACCACTGACTCTACTCTTGGTGTGGTGACACCATTATTATAATTTTTCTGTTGTAATTCTTTAATCAACCCTTCTAATGCTTTGATTCTCTTATTCTTCCTTTTAAGTTCTTTTTTTTGTCGTTGATTTTAATTACTTGACCCTGACGAAGAAGCACTAGTAGACCTATTTCTCTTACGGTGTCGACCCATGTTAACAATTAAAACAAAGTCACACACAATAAACTTATACTGCTGTCTCCACTAATAATTCTCTTTGAATAAAGTAAACTTCTTTAACAAAAGTAATTAAATTCAGTAAAAGTTCAATTATCCAAATAGTCCTTAAATTTAGTTTAAAATTAGCACTTTAACAACTTAGAATAGTTCACTTTGTTTATTTATGGGTTGCTGAGCATTTTAACAGATATTAAAGTATGCTCAAATTATGTCTAATTATGTAAATACAAAAGTTCATGGAACAACCTTACCAAATAACCAGGAACATTTCAACACGCAACTGATGCATCTTCAAGCACCTTGTTGTGCAATCGTCACCGTACCAGGATAATTCACACAAATAAACCAGTTTCTCAACCAGAAAATGTTCACCCAAAACTTCTACAAACTTGTTGTACTGGAGGTCAGTGACCCTTAACGGATTGACAAAATTTGTGCAAAAATCAAGTATTAAGTACCGATCTGCATTAAACTTAGTTACTATAAGCGCTCTTATCACTAATTATGCGAGTCATCACAAAATTATATCATAAAAGCGTCTTTTCGCACCCAAAACCGCCAATTTATTTTTTCACCAAACTTTGCACTTTAAAAGTGAAATTATTGTCCAATTCATCAAAGTTCACACGTGGGCAAGATCACTTATCGCACTTCTGATATTGTTAGGTCGGAAAAACAATGTTAAACTCTTAAATATTAATTTATTATCCAAAATTAGGCTTAACCGACAGAATGCGCGCCAGCGTTCGTATTTGACAGTTCCTGAGCTAGTGTCGGGACGCGCGCGGTAATCGCGTCGCACTAGTGTTGTGTCGTCCCCGCTAAATCGGAGGATTATTCATATCAATACCTACCTTCATAGAGGATCGCCAACTTCCACAAACTGGTTGTATACGTTAAAGAGAAGTTTAATAAAAAGATTACTTAGAATATAAATGTAGTTGAAGTCTCGTTTTTTTTAACCGATGTTTTAAAACTTTAAAAGTGTATCTCTCGTATACACTACAGTCACGATTTTACACTTTCAACATTTAAACTAACTTTGACCAAATTATTAAACAATAATATTTATTAATAATAATAGTATTTACAAACACTAAACATAATCTATTGAAACTACTGAATTGATTTAAATGAAATTTGATACACAGATATTTCAGACCCTGAGAAAGGACGTAGGCATAGGCATAATGCCAAAAAGAGTTGATAGGGGCTGAAAATGGGGATGAAAGTTTGCATGGAAATTCGTGGTTTTTGAAGCTAGAATAATGAAACTGTCGGCTGTTTGGGAATAGGAGTGGGAGTGAGAGTGGGGGTGAGTGTAGGATTTAGAGTCGGAGTGATGTGAGTAGAGAGTGTTACGGCAAAGTAGCACTTACAATAGATTGATTGCCTTAAATGCGCCCTTATATATAGGTTTGTTAAGGTTGTAATTTCAACTTTAACAAACCTATTGCGCGAGAGGTGCATGTATCAATAAGTTGAAAAAAATCGACGATAAGGTGTAGGACTCGGTAGCTCAATTGGTAGAGCACCAGCACGGAACACTGACGATCCCAGTTCAAGTCCTGTCCGAGTCGAAAACTTTTTTCAATTTATTTTCGATTTTTAAAATAAATGAAGTTTATTTAGACACTAATAAGGGTTATTAAGAATCTTTGACGAGCTTATTGGTTTAATGGTAATTAAAAGTAACGGCACCTTTAAAATTAGTAGAAATAACGAAATGTCGTTGGGTTACAAAGTACCGTCCACAGATGAAAAAGCTACGAAGTTTAAGCACGTTGCGATTTAGATCTGTTGTTTCTCGAAAATTCTAAGTAAAATATCTCGACATTGGATATTTCACCTTCCATCATGTGAACCCTATGCGAGTCTGTCCTTTTCACAAAAGACATAGAGACTCGTATAATAGAGAGACATGGAAGGCACGAAGGTTGGCACTCTGCAGTAAAACGGACAGCGTTTGGAGACAATATATTATTTCCGTTAGTAAAAGTTGAAAAGCGTTCAGTGCAGAACGAATTCGCAGTCTATATATCTTAGGAAGCCTGAATAATCGCTCTACTGGAGCCGTCTGCAATTAACAGCGATTTATAATTGCAGCACTATGCTAACGAGTGTCGGAATCGACTGAAAGTGTTACTTCTGGATTCCTGATCAAACATTAAGTCATTCTTACCATTGCAATAATTTGTAACCAACGAAATAATACATTTTGTAAATAGGGTTTAAGCTAATAAACGATTTTGAAATCTATAACACCAAAATACTTAACAAAACCTTTTCAACCGTTTAATTCGCGAAATATATTACTTAATTAATTTTCAACTACGACCAGTTTTCGGTGCCTTCCAGCTCACGAAATGTCTTATCACGATTTTTTTTACCAAAGTTCCTAAATATATAATGTATAATAAAAACATTTATAAGTTTCTAGTATTTTAACGCATATTTTTTTATTTACCAGAAAACTATTATTATTAATTTATACTTATTACTATTAAAAGATAAAAAGTTTCATAAAATAGATACACTGTTGCAGGTAATTTCATCATAATGTCTTCAAATTATTCATACTCTTAGATTTTAGGATCAAACAATAGACATTATTAAATCCTTAAATGGTTATTTAGTCTTGTTGAGTTATTCAATACGTCAAATAAGGTATGCTTTCGCAATAGATGGCGCCACAAAGGTTATTATTTGATGATATTAATATGGATACGACGATATATATTCTATAAGAAAACATTATCTACACAAATCTTAAAAGTACGCACGACCCAATGATATATAATTCTTTTTATTTCTGATAATTTTTCAATTAAATAAAAGTTTTTTTTTATGTTTTTGCTCATGCCACGCAAGTGTTAAGGTTGATATTACATCGCGCGAGAGGTGTATTCGACGATGTCGAGTCGCGGTCTCCGTAGCTCAATTGGTTAGAGCAACAGCACGGATTGCTGAGGATCAAATCCTGCCCGAGTCATATTTTGTTTTTTTTAATGTATAATCGGTTTTTTAATTTAAATAATACAAACATTTGTATACATAGTATGTATATAGAATTATGAATTATAAAAAGTATTTAGAATGCAATAAATTCAATAGTTGTTTTGATACTGAATATACTACTAACATATAATACATTTTTCATTGTCACATCCATACTAAGCTAGCTACGTAAACAAGCAAAACCTACTTAAAATTTGCGTAGGAGTTGAAATTTGGGACAAAACAAGACTTACTATAACGTGTTGTGTAATTATACCCGTCTCTATTTATTATCGACACAGAGGTCAAGTATTGCATAAAATCTTTAATTTAACTGCAGAGATTAAAAAATACTTTCTACATATTAAATCCTTATTTATTTATTTATCAACCAATTAATTACCTAATAGACAAACAACAAATGAGAAAAGGATACAAAAAAATTGTTTGTGTAAAGGGAAAACGTTATACATAATAGTTATATAAATATGTACATTTTTTCTATACAAAAGAGCAATTTGGCACCTATCAAAAAGATAAAACTTTAGATCTTATGAATATGATAGCGTTAAATATATATTCAGGTAACAGGTTTTTTTACATCAATCTAGTTTTGATCTGGAAAGCCTTTTGGGTGAATATGTAATACCTGTGACATTGTTTCCAGCTCTTCCATGTCATCAAATTACCAGCAATACATTGAAATCCATTTTTATAAAAATAAATATTAAATAAAAACTTTAGGTTTAAAACGCGATATATTAGTTAAACTTATTTAGAAAATGATTTTTAATTCGGCCCGAGTCTCCCCGGACCACGGCTGCTGCAAAGCATCTGAAATAAATGATTTTTTTGGTTTCCACGCCATCATCCGCAAGCGTGTAGCTACCCTCATGTATCGAGTTCGACAAAGCAATGGCATTCTGGGGGCATTGTGTGAAAAGCACATGGTGCTACTAAAACGATGGCCCCTTAACGCCTAGCAGCTACTATGTGTATTTTAAGTTATGTTACTAACTCAACTAACACTCATTAGATTTAATTAATTTTAAGGAATTGATGGCGTTATGGTTTGACTAATAAATTATTATTATTATATGTCAGTGTTTTGTGTATAAGTTAACAATTCTCCATAGACTATTGGTTAGTCCAG